GCTGGGGGGGGGGGGGAGTAGGGCGTCGTTAGTTGCCGCTGCATGTCGAGCTCGTAGCAGTACTTACCGAAGCTTGATGAGGTGAATTCTTCGCCTTGGTCCATGTGCAGCATTCACATCTTCTTCCCGCATTTGGCCTCCACTCGAGCTTGAAGGCGCTTAATCACCTCTGCCGCCTCACTTTTTGCTTGCAGCAAGATCAGTCACATGAAGCGGCTTTTGTCATTGACCAGCAGAAGGAAGAGGGTCTTGCCGACTGGGGTCGCCGGCTTGATGGGCCCGCAGATATCGCCGTGCACGAGCTCCAACGGCTCACCGACGCAGTAGGATGTCCGAGACGAAAAAGGGGTGTGCCTCTACTTCCCGATGAGACACCTGTCACATAGTCTGTTCACATCTTCGATTGCCGACAAACTGTGCACCATCTCCCCCTTTGTAGTTTTTGTAGAGCAGGAAAGTTTATGTGCCCATACCTTGCGTGCCACCTCCAAACTACTTTTTTGGTCCTGACCGAGAGGCTGACCGGTTGCTCTATCTTCAACTCTAGGATGTAAAGACGGTTTGTCGTGCGTCGAAGTTGCTTGAGCAACCGTCGTCGATCATCGCAGATTTTGTGTAGCTCGTGCTCGAAGGAAATGAAGCAACCGACCTCATCGAGTTGACCCTAGCTCACAAGGTTAGCCTTGAGCCTCAGGATAAAGTAGACACTGATCAACTTACGGTTCTCGCCTCCCTTGCCGATGAACAGGATGGTGTCGCGCCCTTCGATCTCGACAACGACCATCTCTCGAATCCCCAAATCGAGCTCGAAGGTTGACCTGGCCCCGGTCATATAGTTTGTCTCCCCTGTGTTGAGGACCCATCACCCTCGACTCAGGGGATGAAGTAGACGTCTCTCAACTTGCGGTTCTCACCTCCCTTGCTGATGAACAGGATAGTGTCGCGCCCTTCGATCTCGACGATGAAGCCGTCACCGAATTTCACCATCCCGCGAATCCCCGAATCGAGATCGGAGGCAGACCTGACTCCGATCATATGGTTTGTTGCCTCTGTGTCGAGGACCCATCGTCGGTGCTCTTGCTGCTTGTCTCTTTTGCCGATTTGAGCGAACACTCTCTCCTCCTTCAGCTGAATTGGCTCCCCAACCGGTGCTTTTGTTATGCCCAGCAGAAGCTCTTCCTCAGGTTCGACGCTTATCAGAGTAATTACGCCGTTGTCGATTACCTCCATGGTCTTAGAATCAGAATTAGGGACATCAGGTAGGACTGATGCACTCACCATGAAAAGAGCCGGCTCTTCCTCCTCGGATCGAGCCACATGGGTCTTCTCCTTGTTCTTGGGCTTGCTCCAGCAATTCTTGCTCAGGTGGCCCTTCTTCCTGCAGTTCGAGCACTAGATTGGCTCGCCATCAATCGACTCCTTCTTTTGATCCCCTTCTTTCCCGCGCATGCGCCCGCAAGATTTCCACTGCTTCTTGCTGATTTTACCGTCGGTGGACCCGTTGCTCTCGCCGGAGTTGTCGTGGAGCTTCAAGCGTGCAAGCTATTCCTCCTCAGTGAGGAGAAGACGACCCTGCTTGTCGACAGTTGAAGTGACATTCTTCTTTCGCTGCTCAACATTGCGCAGTCTTCCAGTCACCTCTTCCACCGTTAGGTTATTCACGTCAAGTAATGTTCTTAAAGCGGCAACAAACCATAAAAAAACTTTTCTTATTCTTCATTTTCTACTGCAAAATTCATTTGTTGATCTTTATACCGACAATCAGCTTTTGTGTGCCCATACCTTCTGCAATGGTAACATTGTATGACCTTCATTATATTACTTTGTTCATTGAACTACCTTTGTCCATCATTTCTCCATCTACCCCTGTTATCATGACCACCCTGGAAACCCCTGTTATCATGACTACCATGGAAACTATGAAATTCTCCTCTTCCACGACTTCTACCTGCTTAATGAATATTTTCTCTTTCGTTGCCTTCGTTGTTGGCTGTCTCCCTCACTTGTAGTGCCTTTTCTTCATTCCTATATGATGATTCTTGATTCATGAGCTTGAAGCAAGCCCATCAGTTCATCAATAGACAATATTGATAGATCCTTAGCTTCTTCTATGACAGCCACCACATGGTCAAACTTTGGAGTTAAGCTTCTCAACACCTTTGCAACAATTGTTTCGTCTGAAATTTTCTCTCCATAGGTACACAACTAACTGACTATTGTCATTGCTCTTGACAAAAAGTCAGCAATTGATTCGCCATTCGTCGTGAGTAGAGTTTCAAAATCACGTCTTAGAGATTGCAATTTCACTGTTATGACCTGTGAAAAACTATAATCACTCACTCTCGTGTTGACAAGAACTTGTTTCTAATACCAAATTTGTTGGGGAAATAGAAATTGAAAGAGATAAGAAAAGATAAAAAAGATCTGCAGTGCTTTATTATTGTTTTCTCACTCTATGTTTAAAGAGTTACACAATTCCAATATTCATAGGCTTATACACTAACCATAAATAGTAAATTATGAAAATCCTAGATAAATTCAAATCTACTACCAATCTCTTAAAATCGTGTACTTTTAATACTTTGAATCATATCTCAATTACTTTAAATCATATCTAATACTTTGAATCATATCTCAACAACTTTGAATCATATTTCAACATAGACATGAGTAAATATTTTTCTTTAGTTTAGGCTTAGGACAATCTTTAGTGGATATGGTATGATACTAAAATGGGAAAACAACTTTTCTGAAAGAGTTATGACCCTCATCTCAAACAGGAAAAAATGTGTCAATGTTAACACCTACGGAAAATGACTCGAAAATGACCCAAAATAAAACTGATTAAGTTTCGTATTTTAACTAAATATTTGTGTGAAGTTCGTCAAATTTGAGCGTTTTGTACAGTTTTGTTCAAAAATATTGATGGAAACTTAGTTTTTCCACATAATGATTTAAGTGCCTCCATGATGGTCTTCTCGACAGGGTTGAGGTTGTGAGGTCTTATAGACACGAGTAAATATTTTCTTTCTTGCTTAGTTTATGCTAAGGACAATCTTTAGTGGATATGGTATGATACTAAATTGAGAAAACAATTTTTCTGAACGAGTTAATGACCCTTATCGCGGAAAAAAAGTGCAAATGTTAACACCCATGATAAATGACTCCAAAATGGCTCAAAATTAATGTGTTCAAGTTTCGTATTTTAACTAAACATATGTGTCAAGTTCATCAAATTTGAGCCTTCCATACAATGTCATTCAAAAATATTGATGGAAACTTAGTTTTTCCACATAATGATTAAGTGCCTCTGTGATGGTCTTCTTGATAGGGTTGAGGTTGTCAGGTCTTATAGACACGAGTAAATGTTTTCTTTCTTCCTTAGTTTACACTTAGGATAATTTTTAGTGGATATGGTATGATACTTAAATGAGAAAACAACTTTTCTGAATGAGTTAATGACCCTCGTTTGAGACAGGAAAAAGTGTCAATGTTAACACCTATGTAATATGTAAGAGTCGTATAGCTGGCAATAAGTGAGGAGAGAGAAATGCCAGCTGTACTACTCTTTTAGGGTTAAAAAAAAAAAGAAAAAGAAAAGAGAGGTCGCGGGGAGAAAAGAGAAAAAAAGAAAGAAGAAAGAAGGAAGAAAAGAAAAAAGAAAGAAAGAAGAAGACAGAGGAGAGGGTGGAGCGTTGGAGACGAACGATGGAGCTTGAAGCACTCGTTAGCAATGGTGGGCCGAACAGTTGAGGAAGGGAGAATGTAGACGGTAAGTCCTAGTGGTGTGATTTTCGTTGTTGTTTTCCCAAACCCTAATACCTTTCACGGGATCGGTGTACCTAGGTTATTGTTGAGGGAAGTTGGTGAGTCCTTGTGAAGAAGAAGACATGAGGTGTTGAGAGGAAAGAAAGATCAAGAAGAAGGTGGGGAAGAAGAGGCCGAAAACTGAGGGGGCACGACCTGACCCGACTCGACCCACCTATACAGAACCGAAACCCAATTTGTTTTCCCATTTCACACCATCTGATTCGTCTTTATTCAGATTTAGGTACTTGACTCACACATTTCATAAATGCCTTATTATAGGAAAATTCCAAGCTTAATCAAGGGGACACTTGAAGACTCGATAAAGTTTTGGAAAGTCTACGATCAGGTAAGTAACCATCTAGAGCAAGTTTTTTGTAATTGCTTGTAGGAGTCAGTTTGGATTTGTGGCCAAACAATTTTGGATAAAGTTAGTTCATGGAGGTGGTACTTCGATAATGTGTGCGGTTTTACTTTGGTTGTCGTTATGGTTATATAGTTTCGTTGGCATGAATGTGAAATATCGTATAGGCATATGCAATGGTATGTTTTTATGTTGAGCTAGATGGTTATTATGGTTATTATGTGACTTAGCATGGCGACATGTTGTTGTCGTGGTTCTTTGTTAGGCATTGGGTGTGGAGATTGGGTAGCCCATTGTTACCCTTTGGGAGTTGGATCATTTATTAGGTACTAGTTATTATATGTTATGAAGCACATAATGACAATGTACCGTTTTCGTAGTCACCCACAAGGGGTTGAGGGAAATCATAGTATATTACTGTGATAACACGTTAGAGATGGTGTTAGAGATGGTGCTTAGTGGGACGAGCCATGGCCTTTTACTGATCCAGTCGAGCGGCATAGTGACAGGTAGTTAATGTTCCTAAGATAGGTAGTTTTACTGATCTGAGCCGACAAGGGCGTAAAACAAGTAGTGACTGACCCGGCCTAGTGAGGCACAGTGGTAGGCCGGGTCAGTTAGATGTTGCCAGGCACCACTAGGTCTCTGACTAGTGACTATTCAAGCTCAAAACTTAGGATCCCGTGAATAGGGCTAAGTTCGACAAGAGATTACGAGCAGGTTGCTTACTAGGTATTGTTTATATACTCATTCTGTGTGTTTGCTATTTTTTTTCAGGAGAAAAGTAGATCTGGGTCGATGGCGGAGACAGGTGGAGTCGTGCAGTTGCAAAGGGGGCTCTTAGATTGAGTCATCTTCTCCCATGTCGTTTTGGTTATGATTTTTGACGTTTGTAGAAAACCTGCGATATTTTGTAACCGTTTCTTTTTATCTGACCCCATGGATTTTCGTTATGTGTTTTGCAGTATTTTTTTTTTAAATGTATATCAGGCAACTTTTAACTTTTAGTCCTCTGTTCAAACTACAAGAGGTATTGAAAAGTTTTTTTTTTTTCTTGAGTCCACATAAAATGACGCAAAAATGGCCCAAACTGAAAGTGTTTAAGTTTCGTATTTTAACTAAACATATGTGCCAAATTCATCAAAAGTGTTACGTACAGTTTCGTTCAAAAATATTGATGGAAACTTAGTGTTTCCACATAATGATTTAAGTGCCTCCGTGATGGTCATCTCGACAGGGTTGAGGTTGCGAGGTCATATAGACATGAGTAAATGTTTTCTTTCTTCCTTAGTTTACACTTAGGACAATCTTTAGTGGATATGGTATGATACTAAAACGAGAAAATAACTCTTCTGAACGAGTTAATGACACTCGTCTCGGACTGGAAAAAAGGTTCCAATGTTAACACCTATGAAAAATGACTGCAAAATGGCCCAAAATGTTAACACTGGGAGGATCGGCTGGTGTTCACCGCCATATTACGGTCTGTGCCTCTAGAGATGCTAGCATCTCTTTCCACAAAGCGCACTGCACAATCAGTCTGAGAGGGTATCAAATCCTGTCGGGTTGGTGTGCAGTGAGTGCGGGAATCCAATATCGAGCAGCTGCGGAAGAAGCTCTTAGAGATTCACTTTAAGGACGACGAATCTGTCGATTACTTTTCAATGCGGATCACAAAAATTGTGAAGATGCTGCAAGTCGCCCCAGATCAACTCGTAAAAGTCACGATTTTGATCGAGACATTATTTGAAGTGAATGACCTAACAGTGGAAGAGGTGACCGGAAGACTGCGCAACGTCGAGCAGAGTAAGAAGAATGTCAGCTGTCGACAATCAGGGTCGTCTTCTCCTCACTGAGGAAGAATGACTTGCATGCCTAAAGCTTTGCGAGAACACCAGCGAGAGCAACGAGTCCTCCAGCGGTAAGAATCCATGGCAATCTCGCGGGTGCACGCGCGAGGAAGAAGGGGATCAAAAGAAGCAGTTGACTAATGGCGGGCCAATCCAGTGCTCAAACTGCGGGAAGAAGGGCCACCTGAGCAATAATTGCTATAGCAAGCTCAGGAACAAGGAGAAGGCCGAGAAAGCCCATGTGGCTCAATCCAAAGAGGACGAGCCGACTCTTTTCATGGTGAGTGCATCAGTCCTACCTGACATCCCCAATTCCAAGTACACGTTGGTAATCGATGACGGCGTAATTGCTCCAGTGAGCATCGATCCTGAGGAAGAGCTCCAGCTGAAGGAGCAACGAGTGTTCGCTCAAATCGGTAAAGGAGGCGAGCAACAAAAGCACCGACGATGGGTCCTCGACACGGGGGCAACAAACCATATGACCGGGGTCAGGTCTACGTTCTTCGAGCTGGACTCGAGGATTTATGGGACGGTTAAGTTTGGCGACGGCTCCATTGTTGAGATCGAAAGGTGCAGTACCATCCTGTTCGTTACCAAGGGAGGCCGAGCACCACAAGTTGACCAGCGTCTACTTCATCCTAAGGCTCAAGGCTAACCTTATGAGCCTGGGTCAACTCGATGAGGTCAGTTGCCACATTTCCATCGAGTGCGGGCTACTCAAGATCTTCGATGATCGATGACGGCTGCTCACGCAGTTCGTTGCAAGACAAACTGCCTATTTATCCTGGAGATACATACCATAGAGCTGTAGGAGAAAATTGTTCCATAAATCCATAGGTTGAAAATCATTCCTATCTTTAGTTACTATTTTTAGTTAACTAGTTAAAAGCCATACAATTAAAGTTAGTGAACACACGTAAGTGGAATGGCCTTAATTATATAGTTAATTAAATATGCTAATTGAATGACAAACAGATATGGGGTCTTCAGCACTCTCTCTCATTGTATTTCGTTATTTTCTTCTCCCAACAATTTCTTCGATGACATTTCAATGCGGATCACAAGGCTCACCAACAACATCACCACTCTCGGTGGGAGAATCAGTGAGACACATTTCGTGAAGAAGATGTTGTAGGTCGCTCCCGATCACCTCGAGCAACTTGCAAGGTTTAGGGTTTAGGGTTTAAAGGTTTTAGGGTTTTAGGGTTTAGGGTTTAGGGTTTAGGGTTTGGGGTTTGGGGTTTGGGGTTTAGGATTTAGGGTTTAGGGTTTGGGGTTTGGGGTTTGGGGTTTGGGGTTTGGGGTTTGGGGTTTAGGGTTTCGGGTTTCGGGTTTCGGGTTTGGGGTTTAGGGTTTCGGGTTTCGGGTTTCGGGTTTCGGGTTTAGGGTTTAGGGTTTAGGGTTTAGGGTTTCGGTTTCGGGTTTCGGGTTTCGGGTTTAGGGTTTAGGGTTTAGGGTTTAGGGTTTCGGTTTCGGGTTTAGGGTTTCGGGCTTAGGGTTTAGGGTTTCGGGTTTCGGGTTTTCGAGTTTCGGGTTTCGGGTTTAGGGTTTCGAGTTTCGGGGTTTAGGGTTTCGGGGTTTCGGGTTTCGGGTTTAGGGTTTAGGGTTTAGGGTTTAGTTTAGGGTTAGGGGTTTAGGGTTAGGGGTTTAGGGGTTTGGGGTTTAGGGTTTGGGGTTTAGGGTTTAGGGTTTAGGGTTTAGGGTTTGGGGTTTAGGGTTTCGGGTTTCTGGTTTGGGGTTTGGGGTTTAGGGTTTCGGGTTTCGGGTTTCGGGTTTAGGGTTTAGGGTTTCGGGTTTAGGGATTAGGGTTTAGGGTTTAGGGTTTAGGGTTTAGGGTTTAGGGTTTAGGGTTTAGGGTTTAGGGTTTAGGGTTTAGGGTTTTGGGTTTAAGGGTTTAGGGTTTAAGGGTTTAGGGTTTAAGGGTTTAGGGTTTAGGGTTTAGGGTTTAGGGTTTAGGGTTTAGGGTTTAGGGTTTAGGGTTTAGGGTTTAGGGTTTAGGGTTTAGGGTTTAGGGTTTAGGGTTTAGGGTTTAGGGTTTAGGGT